TATATATATATATATATATATATATATATATATATATATATATTTGCTGTGCATACAAAGGAGACTACACAGTCTTAAGGCCGAAAAGAATGAGCGCCGCGAAACAAGAGAGGGTTTGTTCTTGATATAAAACATGCTTCTTTCGCTTTTTATTTTTCCATGCCAGAGCAGAACAATGATGCTTTATAAGAAGAAAACAACATCGCAACATGACAAAACTTTTCTGTGTTCAAAAAAAAAAAAAAAAAAAAAAAAAGAGCAAAGCTGAAGCAAATGCACTCAACAAAACAAATGGCAGCCGCTTCGCCGATACCCGCCCTATGCTACGCACTGACGAATGCATTGATGTGTTGGCTTTAATCAGTGTAATTGCACTCGTATTGAATGAGTAGAGGCTCGGCAATAGGATTGTGTTCATTGCTTTCCCGATTGATTGCAATTTATTTACACGTGTGCTTCAGAAAATCCCGCAGTTCGTGCCCTCGCCGGTCACAACATTAGGTACATTTCCCAACACAAGGCAGGCAACTGGGAGTAGAAAACAACAAAAGGATCTGATTAAATATGAGACCCACGCACAGAAACACACACACACACAGTGTATGAACGTGTAAAATGGGATTGTCCACGTGAAATGCTGCCCTCTGTTAATCTTCTTAATGTGTAATCTGGATTGGATCCGAACGAAAGTTGGTTTGCCGTTAACCGTTTATGACCCCAACAACCGTATAGAACATTTAGTTTGTTTTGTTTTCAAGAGAGCTTTATTGGCATCGCCCATTTCCACCAAAATGGAGTATGAGGGAGAAACCTTGAAAAGAAAAACGCAGGTTGATTTGTCAAAACATGGTCAGGAACTTTACATAACCCCTTTGATTGACACTGTCGTAGTCATACAACGATTGACACTGTGGTAATCCAACACCTTTCTGGCAATGTCAATCAAAAATGAATGTGGCTACGTTTCCATTCATAGAAAACCTTTTTTGGTTCATTTTTGGAAGCTATAGTGGCCCACTTTGTATTGTGCAGCAGTACCTAATGACGTGTGTTTTCATTTATAGACAAAGAAGGATGTAAGAGAGTCTGGCGGATAAACAAATATGGATGTAGCGTTACCTTCGTGTGTCAACTACAACATTAAGGGAGTCAAAACGACCATCCGATTGCTTCTTACGAGCACAAGTTATAAAATCGAACAGTGAGAGGACAACAGAAGTGATACAACCGTCACATACTCGGAACTTTGTTTCGCAGAGCATAATTTGCTGTTTGCCAACAAAGTGTTGTCCAGAGTTCACCTGTGGCTTTTCCACATTGCTCGGACCCCACCTGCCCACAGGGGATACGCACATTGGTGGACTTTCACCCTTTCAGGCACGGCGGCCACTCCAGTGGACATTTTATCATGTTATCCGATTACCGGATGCACGAAAGGGTTAAAATACTTGCTTCTCGGCCGGGTGTCAGACTCGTCCTTATCGTGTGTCCCCCAGTGTCAGGAATGAAGTCGGGAAGCCGCACACGGGAGCGAGCGACGTGGCGCGACAGAGAGAGCAAATCAAATCTCGTGTAATCTTGACGAGACAATAGCCCTGAGTGACAATCGCCCGTGTCTTGTCTCGACGATCGCGGGCCCCCCACTTCACACCG